TGCCCAAGTATTGCGCCATTGAACCCAGCCTACATCAATTTATTTTCACATTCCAAATTGTCTTATTGTTGAGCTAAAATAATTATCATCTAAGAGACGAGAAAAGTCTAATAGAAGTTTGGAACTCTCACAATCAATACTGGTTGGCATAAAGTCCCACTGGGGAACAATGAAAAATGTACTTGCTAGATTTCTAACAATAGGTCAGGTTATTGCCATGGTATTTCTGACTAATGCAGGTGCTTCTGAATTGTGCATTGAAATATATGCTCTTCTTTCTATAGCGCAGTTGTTTTTGTTTCTCTGGTTTTTTTCAATTTATTTGGGAAGAATAGGAATTACAATTAACAGCTTGCAGCCTATGTTTTGATTTCCTTTTTCTGGGTAAGCTTGTTCATTAACAACAATTTAAATGAATGTGCTGCCTTCTTACTGTACCAAGGTTTTCTGTTTGGTCCAACTGTATAGAAATATAATACAAGAAATCAAGGACAGGAAGAGTTGGGATAATTAAATATCTTTCCAAATTTACTTAAAGCTACCTAAAAGTTGTGATTAAATATTAGCAAAGAGAATGTTAGAATGTACCTGTCTACATCATGAAAATATTAAATACAAAGATTTGGGGGTTAACTCTTGTCTCTTTCAGAAATACAGGCCAAAAGGAAATGGATTAGTGAGGCAATAAATGGCTTGAAAACGTTTTTACTTTTCTTTAGGCAATGTGAAGTCACTAAAGGGTTTTAAACAGGGGAATTTGGGTCATAAGTTAATTTTGGATAATTCACTTTGGTGGAAGATGGATTGCAGAAAGCCAACAACATGGTAACAAGTTAGGATGCAGTTGTATTAGTCCAGTCATTCTCAGTGGGGGGTGATTTTGCCCCACGGGGGACAATTATCAACATCTAGACACATTTTTCGTTTACACAACTGGCCTTGAGGGATGCTGCTAGCATCTGTTGGGTAGAGGCCAGAGATGCTTCCAAACATGCTACAGTGCATGGACAGCCTGCCACAGCAAAGAATTATTCAGGCCAAAATGTCAGTAGTGTCGAGGTTGAGAAAGTCCATATTAGTCCATGCAAGAAATAATAAGAGTCTGACCCGAAGATGTGAAATGTAGAAACACATATTTTTAGGATATATAAGCAACCAAACCAATGACTAATTAAACACTGTTAGTGAGAGAAATTAAGTGGTCTTATAATGGATATTAGAATGGGTATTGGGAGGCCTTGTGGGTAAATGGTACTTACTTGCAAAGGAACAAGAAAGGTAGAATCAGAAGAGGGAGTTGCAGTAGTAAGTGGTAGGTTGGGAACAGAACATTGAATTTGAGGTGCTTGTGAGCATTAAATTTACAAGTCTGAAAATCAGAATAGAAGTCTATATTGAAGATACAGATTAGGAAGATATCAACAGATGGCAGTCGGAGTTGTGGGAATAGATAAGATGCCAATGAGAAAGGGCGTGGGAGTGGAAAGATAAAAAATATTGAGGAAGGGTGGAATAGAAAGGCATGGTTAAAAACTGCGAAGACACAGTTGGAGATCTGGAAGGAGGACGTATTCAGTTAGTACAGCTCTGCTAGCCAGGAATAGCTCCAACTTTAAGCAACCATGGCCTTCCTTGTACTCCTGTACTCTTAATAATTATTAACCACACAGGAATTCACTTTATGTGAAAGGGGGAAGCTGAGGGATGTAGAACTGCTATTAGATGGACATTTAAAAATAAATAAATATTCCAGAGAAACAAATATGAAAATCCTTTAATAAAAGAAAACACTTGCTACTGAAACTTAAGCAACAACTTCTAGCTGGCAATAAAAAATTTTTGATTAATTATAACTTGTAATACAGACTTCATAAAGTTTCATGATTGAATGTTAGGTTTTAATAACTTTTTTAAAAAGCCAGCCCCTGTTTTTAGAAATGTTAACTTACTCTAAGAGAAATCTCCATAAATTATTGCAGAAAAGATATAGAGTCTGATAGAGTATTCAAATCTATTCTGTAACTCTGACCCCAAATTAATATTCCCAAATTAATATTAATATAAAATAGTCAGGAAGTAATTAAGAATATGACAACATATCTTGAATTAACATACCTTGAAATAATAAATATCATGGTAAAAGACTGATCTCAACCAGTAAGAAATAAGTACAAGTTGTGTTTATCTTCTGTCACAGATATTCTCTATTTCTTAGTAACACTGATTTTACCTAAATTTATTCTCTAATAAGTCATACAGTGATACTTATTAACCATAAGCAGGTTAGCATTATTATATATAACTCAGATAAAAAACAATTAGCATCAAATTTGTTATTTTGGGCATCACACCCTAGCACATATTCTGTATGCCCACTCTTGCTTCCAAATTCTAAAATGTGAGTTTAAATAATTGAGTTTGATCCTTAGTGATAAAAGCAGAAAATAACCAATGTCAAAGTACATTTTTAAATGTATCAAGTAAAAAATGGGTATGACCCATGAGCTTTGTTCCAAAGTTTTGCATAATTGTTTATATGACAGCCATGCCTTGATCGTCACTGAAATGGGTAGAGTAGGAGAGGCTCCATGTAGATAATAATTTAATGGACAGAGGATGGTACAAGTCATAAGAGCATTACTCTATTATTACTTCACCTTACCTTCAAATTTTATTTGCCAAGTACTCTAATACTGTCATTTCAGGAATATTTTAAGGCACTTAAATCTCTCTACTGGTGCTTGCCACCCACTGACAAAACCTGAAGCAGCTACCTTTAACATGGTTCTGTCTCACTTGCCCCAAGGAGCTAGTTCATTTCACCTACTCTATTGGTCAGCCTGGAGGATTAATGGAATAATGCTTATAAATCAATATGAAAAGCCTGATAGACACTCTGTACACCACTACCTTTATTAAAGACCATTTTCACGAATAACTATAGAGATGAGGAAAACCTTACATGTATATTTGGTGTTCTGAAATCACAATAAAGCACCTAATGTAGAGGAAATTGACATAAATTTCAAAAAGCAGCAGTGTTAAGATCTATTCTGTGAGTTCAAACACAATAAGTAATGAGGATACATTATTATTGCCACTGGATGATAATCCTCAAAATTCTATAAAATAAATGATTCTTCTTGCCACCCAGGATTAGTTTTTCATTTTAAAGAACAAAAATAACCCCATATAAAGCAGCTTCTGTAAATCAAGGGTTTAAGGAAATTGGATGTACCCCATAACAGAGAATATGTTATATTAATTAGACAGTACACTCATTTAGTAGTAGCATTGATAATAATTGTAATACAATAGGGGTCTTAAAATAAAAAGAATAGAAAACCGGTTAGCTTTAAAGTTAGACAAGTAAGTGCTCCTAAGGAAAAAAAAAAAAAATCTCAAGATAAAATTTTAAATGTTGGTGGGTTGGAGGGTGGGACAAATGGGTGAAGGGGGTCAAAAGGTACAAATTTCTAGTTATAAAATAAGTAAGTCATGAACATGTAACATACAGCATGGCGACTATAGGTAATAATGCTGTGTTGTATATTTGAAAGTTGCTAAGGGAGTATACCTTAAAAGTGCTCATCACAAGAAAAAAAAAACTGTATGGTGACAGATGTTGACTAGACTTATTGTAGTGATTATTTAACAATATATACAAATATTGAATCATTGTTGTACATGTTGTACACCTGAAGCTAATAATAATGTTGTATGTCAGGTATACCTCAACTAAAAAAAGAGGGGAAAATGCCTTTCCTTGAAATTGACTATGATTCCAAAAATCTAGATTTTTCTTCCTTGGCTGAGTACGTCAATCACCAACGACACCGGCATTTGTTACAAAATAGAAAGCCAAAAAAAAAAAAAAAGAACTAATGCTTATGTAGGTGTTGTAGTGCTGCTACAGTCCACCTCCAAATTCACCAGTTTTATTTCTGCCAGGCTGTCTGCTTATCCTCTAGATGGCTGTTGAATATTAATATTATTTTGAAATAATTATGGCAGAACTTTAAAAAAATCAATACTTTAATAAACTGAAGAAACTTTCTACAGAAAGTTATGAAACGTAAGACATAAAAACTGCAATAACTATCATAAAGCACAGTAGCAATGAACATAAATTCTAGAACCAGACTGTCTGAATTCAATTCCTTGGCTCCACCAATTAGTTATGTGTGACCTTGGGCAAGTTACATAACTTTTCTGGCTCTGTTTCCTTATCTATAAAATAAGAATATCAGTATACTTGCATACTTTCTGTAGAAGGAAAGAAGACAGAAAGAAAAGAAAAAGAAATATTGAACCAAAAAAGGATTTTCTAAAAAGAATCAAAGCAGAGGGCTCCCCTGGTGGCGCAGTGGTTGAGAGTTCGCCTGCCGATGGAGGGGACACGGCTTCGTGCCCCGGTCCGGGAGGATCCCACATGCCGCAGAGCGGCTGGGCCCGTGAGCCGTGGCCGCTGAGCCTGCGCGTCCGGAGCCTGTGCTCGGCAGCGGGAGAGGCCACGGCAGTGGGAAGCCCGCGTACCGGAAAAAAAAAAAAAAAAGAAAGCAGATACAATGCAAAATTGTAGTTAAAATTATTCTGATGTACATAAAACTTACTGAGATAGTAAATAGCATTTAGAAACTTAATTTTTGGAAAATATACTTTTATTTTTTTTATTGGCGTTTAATTGCTTTACAATGGTGTGTTAGTTTCTGCTTTATAACAAAGTGAATCAGTTATACATATGTCCCCATATCTCTTCCCTCTTGCATCTCCCTCCCTCCCACCCTCCCTATCCCACCCCTGTAGGTGGTCACAAAGCACCGAGCAGATCTCCCTGTGCTGTGCGGCTGCTTCCCACTAGCTATCTACTTTACGTTTGATAGTGTATATATGTCCATGCCACTCTCTCACTTTGTCCCAGCTTACCCTTCCCCCTCCCCATATCCTCAAGCCATTCTCTAGTAGGTCTGTATCTTTATTCCCGTCTTACCCCTAGGTTCTTCATGACATTTTTTTTTCTTAGATTCCATATATATGTGTTAGCATACGGTATTTGCAAATGATTTTTATGAACTTTTATCTGTCTTTATTGTTTGATTCTGAAAATTCTCCATCATATTTTTTTCCAGGAGGATCTGCTTTAATCATTTTAATTCATTTATTTTTTAAAAAAATTCTATATAAATGAATAATATAGAAATCATATTACATACAAATTATTTAGAACATGACATTTTAGAAAAATGTTATGATCAAACATCCATAATTTACCTAGCCATTCTCCCTTTATTAGCGATTTGTTTGAAAATTTTGCTATTATACATAATTCCTCATTGGCTGCATTTCAGATTATTCCCTCTTTGAATTTCTGGAATAGAATTTATTGGATTCAATTTTAAGATGACTGTTTTTAATCTGCCTTGCACAGATCATAAAGCTGATTTTCAAAACGTATGGACTGGCCCCAGTGAGTACCAGTTTCACTGTTCAGCCTACAGAATCTCACTTCCTTGATAGATGCTTACAGATAACTTAAATGCCGTGTCCCTCTACACAAGAGAATTATCTCTCTTTGCAGTTGACTTTATAGTTCTCTTTTGTGCAGCGTACTCATACATGGAAAAAATTCCTTTCTGGGAGATGATTTCATTGCTAAATCTTCTTAAGTATTACCCATATATACCACTCTGTAGAAAGAGAGAGAGAGAGAGAAAGAGATTTTGATTGTGTAGGTATTTCTTCACCATATCATAAACTGCTCACCTCATAACTGTCCAGTGAAACCCAATGATATCAGGTTTGTTGTATTTCCAGATAAGTGGCTCAAAGAGGAGAACCTATAGAGCATGCCATACTTGAGGACATAAATTCTCCTAGAAGTGATTGTAAGGAGAAATACTGAGTTCTCTCTATTATTCAAAAACATTGGTACAAATCTTCAGGAAGAAAAAGCAGATAGAAGCAGATTTGTTACATTCATTTTAAAATAATTTTAGGAATTTCTTTGAAAGTTACTTTTATTGCAATAGTAACATTATTAAGCTCCCATTATATTCTCTCTAGCGCTGTTCTTTTTAGTTTCCTCTTTAATTTCCTATCCTGTGACTTTCACATGCATGGCTGTTCTAGTCCCTTGGGCCAAGTCTTATTTTTTAAACTGAGAGTGATAAGAGCAAATACTCAGGTAGAAGTTGCTGATCTAACTGTTTTGGGAGTATTAACTAATTTAATTATTAAAACAATACAAGTACTGAGCAGTACTCAGGGACAGACTGAAATGTTAGATACACGAAAAATATTTTTTTGAAAAACTCAAATAAAATGTCAAGAGATTAAAACTACAAGGTCCGAAATGTAAAGTACACTGGAAGAGAAGAACAGCAGATTACACACTGCAGGGGAAAAAAAGTGAATTTACATAGCATTGGAAACTATCCAAAATGAAAAGCAGAAGAAAAATGATGGAAAAAAGAATAAACAGGGTATCCATGAGCTGTGGGATAATTTCAAATAGCCTAATGTACATGTAATTAGAGTCTCCGAGGAGGGGTAGGTCAAGGAGGAGACTGAAAAAAAGTATGTGAACTACAGCTGTTATTTAATGGCCCAAAAATCTGAAAGAAAAAAAAAAAAAGAGATATTCTATTTTCAGCCTCAGAATTTCCATTTTATTCTTTTTTATATCTTCCACTTCTCTCCGTATTATATTTATAGTATTTAATCCTTGAACATGTTTATAATAGGTAGTTTAAAATTGTTGCTGCTAATTTTATCATCCCCATCATTTATGTCTGTTTTTATTGTTTGATTTTTATCCTGATAATGGGGCACGTTCTTCTTGCCTCTTTGCATCCTTATTATTTCATTGGATTGCAGACATTGTAATATTATATTATTGCATGTCTGGCATGTGTTGCTTTCTTTCTGAGAATATTGACATTTATTTGGCAGACAGTTAAGTAATTTGGATCAGCCTAATATTTTTGAGGCCGACTTTTTACTTTGTGGTGATTGCCTTGGTATAGCTTTACTCTAGGGCTACTGTCGTCCTACTGCTAAAGTATTACTCTTCAGGAAGCTATCTTGAAGGCCCTGAGTATTCAGCAAGATGTCTCCCACCTGCCTTGTTGTAACTTATATTAATATATCCCTCAGTCCTGTGTAGGCTCTGGTAACTGTTCAGCTTATGCATAGTTGGTGATTCTTTACCAGCCTGATGGAATTTTATTCTATGCCTGTTCAGATTAATATTCAGCAACAGACTCAACTTGACTCCTATGCTGATTGCTGAAGCTACCTCCTGTGTATCTCTCTTCTCTTTTCATACTCTGTCCCACAAATTCCAGCCACCTTAGCTTCCCTAAGCTCTGACTTCCGTCATCTCATTTCAGCAAGACCGATGTGCTCTACGTGAGAGTCCCATCTTGGGTCATGATCTAGAATATGCCTCCAGGCAGAAAGCCAGGGAAATCATAGTGCCCGTCTTGTTCATTTCCTCTTCTCAAGGATAGCAGCCCTAGGCTGCCTATTGCCAGTATCTGAAAACAGACCTTTCCTATATTTTATGTAGTTTTCTAGTTGTTTGTGATAGGAGGGCATGTCCAGGACCAGTTACTCTCATAGAAAGAAACAGAATTCAGAATTGCTTTTTATAAACTTATTTTTATAAACAGAAATAAAGGAAAAATTGCAATTTTTTGGATACAAATGGAAAATAGTAGCAGCTGCAGATATATCAGCTAATTGTTTTATGAATGATCTTATGAAAAATAAAATACTGTGTCACTAAAATTTCAAGAGAATATGTTCTGCTGACAAGGAGAAATGATAGCACCATTTTGTTTTCATTCTAAATAACCTTTTATGATGCCTTGATTGTTCTCACTCTCTCTCTCCCTCTCTTTTGGTACTTTCAAAAGTATCCACAATATAATCGTCTATTACTTCCTATGTAGATGGGGAGGGGTGTGAAGGGAAAAGATGCAATAAGGTAAGGAAAACTTTGACAACTTCTAACACCTAAATTTGAGAAAAATAAATGAGTCAAGTACCAGGACCATGGATAGCAACCCTAGTCTTTGTAATTCACCTGCACCCTGAATATTGTAGTCAGACAATAAATAGAGTCTCTTTCTCCTAGATGTCCGCCCCATTACTCACCTAACAACAACTTGTAAAAGAGGGACTGTGGTAATAACCATAGTTTACTGTTTGTAGTTTGTTATTAAAAATAATAATAGTAAGACAGATGCCTTAGTACTTGAATCTGAATTTTAGGTAGAGAAGAACCAGCAGACATTCTTCCTTGATATAGAGAATACCTATTTAGGCAGCTTATGCTTTCTTTGCTCACCATTAGGGTTTAAGGTAGCATGAGTTCTGTAAGTTTAACAATTACAAAAAGAAATTTTGATTTTCTTTTTCACTTGCATTTTCATTAAAGATAGTGGGTTTTTTTTTTAAACATCTTTATTGGAGTATAATTGCTTTACAGTGCTGTGTTAGTTTCTGCTGTATGACAAAGTGAATCAGCTATACGTATACATATATCCCCATATCTCCTCCCTCTTGCGTCTCCCTCCCACCCTCCCTATCCCACCCCTCTAGGTGGTCACAAAGCACCGAGCTGATCTCCCCGTGCTATGCTGCTGCTTCCCACTAAGATAGTGGTTTTGAACCCTGGCTACACGTTAGAATTACCTGTGGATTTTTGAAAATACATGTATTTCGTTACCTTTCCTTTTTGGAGATTCTGATTTCATTGAGCTGGGGTGAGGCTCAGGTATAGGTATTTGTTTTAATCCTCAGGTGAGTCTAAAAATCACATGGGTTTGAGAGCTACCTGATGTGTGCTCCAAGAACCACCAGCACTGGCATCATCTGGGAGCTGTTCTGAAATGCAGAATCTCAGGCCCTGACCAAGATCTACCAAATCTATATTTTAGCACCTAGATGATTCATATGCACATTTAAGTTTCAGAACATTCTTTGTTGACACAGATATATTTCTTGCCTTCAAGTAATTCTGAATGTAAATTGTAGAGCATTTAGACCTGTGATAATCCCAGATTAGGCCTAGGATCACAATCAGATGCTCTTTTTTAAAAAATGCAAATTCCTAGGCTGCAATCCAACCCTGTTCAACCAGCTCCTCCAAGCACGAAGCATGAAGTTTGGGCATCTGTGTGCTTATATGTTCCAGGTGGTTCTGAAAATTAGAGAAGTTTGGGAAATAATGTAAAATAAGGACCATAGTTTTCAACATTTTGCTTCTACCCAAAGTCCTAACCAGGCAAAGAACAAATGCTGTTATGAAACTAATAAATAATGGTAGATACATACTTGTTCTTATACAGAATTCCAGAGCATTGTGACAAAAACAATTTGATATAAATTTCATAGTTTTCTGTTAAAATAAGTTTTATGCTTCGGATATTTTTGCTGTGGCTACAATGAGGAAAAAATATACATACCTGGCCATTTAAAGGTTCTGTCAGTTTAGAATTTTAGGCCATTTCTATGCAATGCAGGGGGCAGTCTAATAGAGGCTGCAGAGTGAAATGGGCAGTCTGACATGAAACTGTGGAAGAAAACTGACAGATGTAGTGAGTGTAAGAATGGCATAATGCTGAATAGGCTGTTTTGTAACAGAAAAAAGAGAGCATTTCAAAACTAGTTAACTTAGTTATGAGACTTTAGGTCAAAAACTTATAAGTATTTGTGAATACTTTTAACACTGTAGAGACTGTCAAAAATTTATCACATGGTTAAATCACAGGTGTTTGAATCATGGAGTCTGAGAAAATTCCTAGCTTAGGAAATGGAAGTAAGTAAAAATACACCAAAATAGACAGATTTTTTTTCTATACAAATACAAGTTTTTATAAAAGTTTTTAGCATTTCTTATTAAACTATACATTTATAAATGGTTAGAAGTCATGAAAACTCTACTTTGTTACGTCTCCATATTCAGTGTATCCAGACACAAAGAATGAGATTGGAGTTAAGGAAACCTGACATTGAGTTCCAGCAAAGATACTCAATATGTGCTGTTTGTCAGGCCACTTGATATTTCTGAGGCCCAGTTTTCTCATCTCTAAAATGGAAATAATAGTACCTCTCTTGTTAGGACAGCCATATGTCTCACACCTTCTCTCACTCGTGGACACAAGCCTGATTATGGAAAAACCTTTAATTAGAATCTCAAAATTAGTGTAAAGCCCTCACAGTTTAATGCAATTACACATCACAGATAAATGTTACTGCCTTGGTTCCTAAAGTCATAAAGTCATAAAAAATTAGATACTACGTCCTGGAAAGAGAATGCTCAAGTGAAGTCAAAAGCACATTAATCTCATGACATTTGGCATTTGCGAAACATACAGTTTGGGGTATGTTATGGTAATGTACTAAGAGAGTCAAGTTAGTACTTAGCTGGATTTTTATGCTGCTAAGCCTTTTAGATATTTTTTCACAGTAGCATATTTTGTTTGCTATTGATTCCCTCAGTTATTCGTTCAACAGATGCTTTTTTGAGACCATACTATGTGTCAGACACTATGCAAGATGTGAAAGATTCAATGGTCAGAAGAACATTTAGGTGGGGTGAACAAGCAACAAATGAACAAATAATGTAACCCACTATGATGATGTTTGATAATAACGTAAGATGATATATCATATACCATTATAGATTGTGTTACATGTTGTGAAGAAAATAAAGTGATTAGCTGGTGAGTAACTATACTGTCATCATAGGTAGGACTGTTCAGGGAGATATTTCTGGGCCAGTAGCATTTGAACTTCCCTAATATGAAAGAGAAAACATGTCAGCCATGAAGATACACACCAAGAAAGCATTCTTAGGTGGGAGTAGAAGTCCTGTGAAGTTGGAATATAACTAGGCAGGGGGAGAATGGCATGAATTGAGGTTGGAGAATTAAGATAGATACCCAATATGCAGGGCCTTGTAGGCTATGGAAAGTAGTTTGGATTTTTATCTAAAAGCAACAGGAAGCCATTAAAGGGTTTTAACTGATAGGCAATATTTATAAAGTAAAAGACTGGAAGTAGTCCAAATGTCCCCAAATAGATGACTGGTTGAATAAATTATGGTATATCCACAAAATGTACCTCTAAACAGGAATAAGAAACCTCTCTCTAATGGCTATGTATCTAGCATACACCATGAAGTAAAAAAAGTAAGGTGAAGACAGGTATATACAATACACTATCATTCATCTTCAAGAAGGGGGAAAACATGAATATACAGGCATGTACACAAGTATGCCTATAATGAAAAAGGAAGATAAACCAAAACTAGTTTTAAAAAATAGGTTACATAGAAGGGGAGGAGGAGACTAGGGTGAAGTGGGTTAGATTGGAAGTGAGACTTCTCTCTCTTCTGTAGTTTTGATTTTGGAATTGTGTAAATGTTTTTATAGTAATACAACATAACAGATGTAAACAGGAAGAAATCCTTAAGAATTTAAAGCAAAATAAAACAAATGAAAAGAACTGCATAGCGGGGGCTGCACCGCACAAATGGGCATTATATCAAGTAATTTTAAGACTGATCTTAGCCAAAAGTCTGAGAAGCAATTATATCAAGTGATTTTAAAACACAGTAATTTGTATTATACGTCTTATACGTCTCCAGTGGGATATAGCCTAAGGAGAAAAACACTCAAAGATCTTAAACCATTTTTAGTAATTATATTGTTATTCTATAACTATTTGTGTCTCTCTATATTTGACAAACAAATCATTTAAACACACATATTAGGATGAGCAAAAACGCTTGTGCTACTGTTGTTAGGATCCAAGACATTCACTATAAGAGAAAAGATATGCAAACGTAAGACTAACAAAGTCAAATTAATATTGGAGTTGGAGATTTGAATATGAGCTCATGGTGTATTTTACCTTCAACTTTTTCTAAGATCTGTCCAATGAGAAAGTCTAGAAACAATGATCAACACAGTAGCCATGAGCATCACTAGCGCTTAAATTAGATTCTTTAAATATCATTTCTCCTAAAGGAACCAAAGTTTTTGAAAAATTGGATGCTTCCAGGTGTGGGGCAAGAAATGTACAAGGAAAGCATAGAAGACTTTATCATACCAGAAAGGGTGGAAGCATTTAGGTCATGTCATCAAAACTCTGGATTCAATCTGAAGTGGTTCAACTGGCCAAAAGACAATTTAAACAACAGCAATAATAAGTAATTAAAATAAAATAAATGTTAAAATCTATGATTTCATAATAATACCCAGTAAGAAAAAAAATGTATCAGTCACCTTGTAGGATGCTAGAAAACAAAGACATTCTTCTAAAAATCTGTAAATAAAGGAAAAGATTTCCCAGTTATCCTGTATTTCCTGTACAAATTCACCTCCACATTAACAGCTTAGATAATGAGAGAAAATTAGTATTTATAGATGTATCCCAGCAAATAAATGAAAAAATAGTGTAAAATTAGCATATAACCATTTTGCAACCCTTAATAAATAGTAGATTTAGTTTACAATCATCAGCAATAGCTAAAACTACTAATTGAATCATAGGTGGAGACCATTATTATGAATGTACCAGGCTGACAAAACCTTAACCTACTGATCACTTTTAACATCTCAAAAACAGTGACAGAGTATGACTTTTGATGTGTTGTACTAGGAAATACAAATATCATCCATGAACTATTCTTGCCACAACATGAACCAGAAATCCTTCTAGTCCCTAATCTAACTAACTACCAGGTTTCAGAAAACATATGAGTCAAAGAAAAATGGTAAAAGATGCCATTATAGAGGACATGCAATCACAAAAGTTTAGAGTGAGGGACACTACAGATCAAATGAAAATATAGTTAAAACAAGTGATAACTGGGCTTCCCTGTTGACGCAGTGGTTGAGAGTCCGCCTGCCGATGCAGGGGACACGGGTTTGTGCCCTGGTCCGGGAGGATCCCACATGCCGCGGAGCGGCTGGGCCCGTGAGCCATGGCCGCTGAGCCTGTGCTCCGCAGTGGGAGAGACCACAACAGTGAGAGGCCCGCGTACTGCAAAAAAAAAAAAAAAAAAAAAGTGGTAATTGATGATAATGGATTATTGAATCTGGATTCATTGTACTATTCTCTCTACTTTTGAATATGTTTGACATTTTTCAATAATGACATTTAAAAGAGAAAATAAGAGGCATGTGAAGCTCTCACTTACATTTAGGAAATTTAGCAGAGGGGCATAGGTGAAAGCAGTAGACCAGTTAGGAGGTTTCTGTAGTGAGGCAGAAGAGAGATGATGGTGGTTGATACTAAAAAGTGGCAGTGAAGATTGAGAACTGAAAGGATTTGATATATTTAGAAGAAGGAGAGTCAGTAGTACTTCTAATTGATTGGATTGGGGGTTGAAGGAAAGAAAGTCATCAAGAATACCTCCCAGGACTTCTGTTAGAAATCTGGGTCAATAGTGATGTCTTTTGCCAAGATTGAGAAGACTGGGAAATGGTGGATAGCCACATGGAAGGGTGAGGTAAGAAGTAATCAAGAGTTCCGTTTGGCGCATTTTAAGTCTGAGACATCTATTACACATTCTTGATTGTAAATAAAAACAAATCAGAACAAAGAAGTCTCTTAGAATGTGACTAGGTAATTATTATGCTTTGATAACTTGATAGAAAGGCTGAACATTGACAGAAGTAGTTCCCATTGGGGTACATATTTATTTATATCCAGCTTATCTGAAGTCTTAGCCAACTAATCTAAAAACATTGAGCATTGAGTTTCCCTTATATTTTCTGAATTCAGCGAGAACTGATTAACCCATTTAGAAAGAGCTGAACCTATCTTTATATGTAGCTAATTATGTTCTAATGCATACATTCAGCAATGCCATGAGGCTGTCCATCTGCAAACTGCCAGAAATAAGCTGTCCAAATTCAGAGAATGTCTTATTTTAAGGCTTAAAAATGACACTGATTTAAAGATTGCTTTTGCTGATTTGATAAACTGTAAGTTGAAATAATTACATTAATGTAGCACATTGTCATGCCAACAATTTTTCTAAAAAGATAAAAGAAAAAACATAGTTGCCTTTAACCTGTATGTGTTAACAGAATAAAGCATGGTTTTGAAAGTCAATTTCTGACTACCTTCAAAGTGCTACACTAGAAAAAAGTGAGTGGAAAAGAAAGTGTTAAGTGTTAGCTTCCCCTAGGTGAATGATACCTTCTAGGACAATGTATAAGGGTAAGAGATTCCAAGGATTGGGAAAGAAATGCCATTTTTAGGTGGTCTACCGCAGTTGTCTCTTTACCAAGAGTGGGTAAAAATAGCAAAGAAATAAGGACACAGTTCAAAAGTTAGTAGGATAGTCAATCCATACAAATGACCCACTTGGGAGGTGAGACTGCACTGCAGACGGGGGCGAATCATCAATGAAGAGCCCAGGAAACAGGGAGAAGCACAAGGCCCTGAAGCAAGGCAGAAGAGAACTAATTTTGAGAGTTTCAAGCCCTTTCCAGGGGAGTTCTTTGACAGGAGGCTTAGCCTGGTCCCTCAAGGGGCTAAAGGGTATCAGATGCTACTCCCCGCCACAAGTCTTCTGCCTTCAGGATGGGCCCTTTTGTCTTTTCCTAGTGTTTGCAAAATGGAGAAATATATAGATGGTTTCGTTCTTTCTCAACTTTGACCACAGCTTTAATCTCGACTTCATTAGAACACCATCTATTTGTCATCACCACAACCAGCAGTAATAAGAAAAATAATTCCTACAGTAGTAAATCCTTGCTTAACAGATTTTTATTTTAAAATAGGCTTGACTTTTTTTTTTTTCATTTTAAAGAAAAGTTTTTGGCAACAGGTAGATCACACCTGAATCTGTTGGGTTCTATATTTTTAAACAGTTCTGACATATTTTTTTTCTTTTTATAACACATGCTGAGTGGGAATGGATCATGGCCAGTCCTAAAATACGGACTGGGCAGCTCTTGGAATTTCAAAGGCAGTACAGTCATAGCAAGGTTTCTAATAGAATGAATATAAATTAAGAGAAATACTTTATTTATTATTTTTAAAGTTTTATTTACAGAAAGACTTAAGTAGACATAAGTAAATCAAAATGGGAAATGTTTCTGGTTTAAACAAACATTGGAATTTAAAACAACAAAAATTTTCTAACTTATAAAACAACTCAACCTAAAGTTACTCAATGAGAATTTAATAATCGACAATAGTTTTTCTTTGAAAAAACTCATGAGTTACAGTGGTTCACAGTACAAAGTAAGTGACAGGCCAAGATACAAAATAGCTTTATTTTGAATTTTCTGGTCCTTGTCAAGTTATTCTTGATTACATCTGAATCACTAAAGCTTAGAATATTTTTTTAACTCTGATATGTGATGTCCCTAGTCCCTGAGTGATACCTGGCAAGAAAATATGCCTAATATTCATAAATCAGAGCCATGGCGTTTCAAAAAAAAAGAAATGGAAAGGAAAATTTTGCTGTTTTTAAGGACATTAATGTTGTTGGGTGGGTATTTGATGGCCCAGAAAGGGGTGGTGAGTTTCTAGGACTTTTGGCCTTGAATAGAAGACCCTTGGGTTACCTGAACTGACAAACTAATGCTAAAACAATTCTTTTAAACACACCATCATGAACCTCACACGGAAGGTAAAAACCCATCACAGTGCAGCTCCACAAACAGCCTGGTGTTGTCAAATTGCAGGTAACCTCGGCAAGGTTTTTAGTCCTCTAATGCTTTCGCTTCCACACAAGGGACTGTAAAAATAGGAGCTCTTGGATGCATTAGAGGAGACCTTTCTCCTCTCACTGAACAACACTTTATTTTGCTTCATTCAGTGATCCAAGCATTGCCACTTTACTCCCGTCACAGTGTTTTCTAATATTAACACTATTTTTTTTCAGATGCATCCATCTAGACCATCCAAATCTGTACATATTAACATTGCTGAGCAGCAACTCTGGGAGGATGTTCACCCTGACCTTTCCTTTTCCTGACACAGTCTCCATCACAGTTTCCATTTCCAGGTTTATTTTTGATATCATAGATGTTGCTATAACAGCCAACAGCCTTGCCTTTAGGTTTCTCTTCTCAACTCAACTCTAGAAATAATTCCTCCTCTAACAATTGATGGAGTGAAAAACCTGTGAGAATTACAGGCGTCAGTGCACTGGAAATTTTCTCTGCTTATTGTATTGCACAAGTACTGAAAGATCAAAATATAGGTTTACGAACAAAACTATATTGGCAAAAACCCTGCGTTTTCTACAAAATTCTAGCTTTCCTTTTTTCCCTTTCTCTTACACATACCCAAAATTACATACATAGATAATTTTATACTTCATTAAGAAGTGTTTCTCTATAAAATTTCCTTTATTCAGTAGCACACAGTAAAAAGAACTTGGTGGAAAAAAACCTGGAAATAACCTAAATATCCATCCACAGTAGACTGCGTAAATGAACTGTTACATTCATACATAAAATACTATACAATATGAAAACATAATGTGCTACATTTTCTTTTAATAAAACATATATTAACTAAAATAAACCAAAGGAGCAGAGTTGAATGTATAATGTAAGTGTTTATATACAGTCTGCCATATGAATTAGAAGTATTTAAACAGATACATGAGAAACTATTCAGTTGCCTTTAGGAAGCAGATATAGGGAACATTAGTTATAGGTGAGTTGAGATCTTTTATTTCAATTCTGTCTGCCTCTTTTTAGTTTTGTTTGCCATAGTCATATATTACTTGTATTAGACACATACATTAAAAAGAAGGCTTACCTGAAGACAGGAATAAAGACACAGACCTACTGGAGAACGCACTTGAGGATATGGGGAGGGGGAAGGGTGAGCTGTGACAAAGCAAGAGAGAGGCATGGACATATATACACTACCAAACGTTAAGGTAGACAGCTAGTGGGAAGCAGGCGCATAGCACAGGGAGATCAGCTCGGCGCTTTGTGACCGCCTGGAGGGGTGGGATACGGAGGGTGGGAGGGAGGGAGACGCAAGAGGGAAGAGATATGGGAACATAGGTATATGTATAACTGATTCACTTTGTTATAAAGCAGAAACTGACACACCATTGTAAAGCAATCATACCCCAATAAAGATGTTAAAAAAAAAACAAAGGCTTACCTGGATTTTTTTGAACATTCCAACTGACATCCAGTTCAATTCCATGATTACTGAAAAAAATGGAGGCACACACATTATATAGTGTGGTGTTGTGGAAGGAAACTCCAGAACTTTAGATTTTATTGAACATGTCATTTTATGACCATGTGTAAATCACTCATCTACTGATACCTGATTTGCCTCATCTGTAAAATGTGAAAAAGTAGCTCCATCTACCACAACTTTCATTTACCACTCAGTGTTGTGATGGAAATAAAATAAAGTCCCTTGTGAATCTTGCAGGGCTACCGTATACAGGTGTGAAATTTTGTAATAGAGATCATGTTCACTTTCAGATCTCACATTAATTGAATCTGACTTTATCCCAGGAATTTCACATTTGTTCTTACTTGGTATTTTTCAGTGGGAAGCTATATTCCACTAACATCTGAGTAGTAAGAAGAACCATGATCACGATAGTATATGCCTAATCTAAAATTGCAAATTCTGGTAACAGGTACATAAATGAATAAACTGTATTAATTAAAAAATGTAGTTAATAGATACATGACATTGTAATAAATTCACTCGTAAATTTTTCTGCTTACCTACCTATAATAATAACAAAAGTTGTTGTTTACTAAATACAAAGCATGGTCCAGAAACTTAATGATGTTATATTTGTTACTTATTTCTCAGACCACATTTTTAGGTAATTATTACTAGTATCATGGTTTGGGTAAACAAAGTAAGAGTGAATAATGTTAATTTCCTTGTCCTGGGTCACACAGTAGTGACTGAAGTCTGATTA